TCTTGTTGCATGCTGTGGGCTGGGAGGTCTGACAAGGGGGAGGAAGGGGCAGAGACAAACTAAACAATCTACAGATAAAATGTATCTCCCCTCAGCCTGTACTTCCGCCACCTCCTAACTCTCTCATTTAGCTGCTTGTGGCTCAATTAGTCAGAAATGCATTCAGCGTGTCTATGCTGCATGCTTGGACATCTGGTGGCAGTGGCTGTTTGCAGGTTCCTGCCCATTTCCAACACAGACATAGTAACCAACCAGGTATTGTGGTGTGAAAGTCATAGATGGGGATGGTGCTGTGGTTTCCTGATTGTGCTCTGCTGGAAGCCATATGCATTAGCCAGGCACTGACTGCTCTGGGACAGTGCTAGGAACAAGAAAGCTGATGAGGCCACATGCTCTGCTGCATGGAGTTTCTTATGACCTACTTAAGAGATTCTGGCTGTAAAGATTGTTGCCTGTGTTGGATCAGTGAGTTGTTTAGGGGTTTGGGGCAAAGCAGTAAAACAGACTGATGAATCCAAAAGGAAGTGCCAATCTGGGTTGTTGATTTTTTCAGAAACAAGCAACTAGGAGACATTGTTCCTCTTCCTAACTCTCTTCAGAACACATGCTGTAAATTACACCTAGGAAAAAAAGGTTGAACTGGGTGCCCAGCTTTCCAAGGAAGCACTTTGCCCTCCAGCCAGAAGAGTAGCTCTTCTGGCTTAAACCAGCACAGGCTCTTCTTACACCTTCTCACAGGTCCTCAGAGCCCAAGAAAAATGTGCAGAACAGGGTATTCTACACTGAAACATTTGCAACTGCTTCCATTACAAAGCCTGTTTTCAGGGTTGATCATCGAAATTAAATCAGGTCTGAAATGCAGGAAATAGGATTGCAGTCTAGGTACAAAGAAGGAAATCACATCAGAAGTAGTGTATCATTGAGATTACAGTTAAATGGATATAAAATGTCCCCTCCTCCCCAGAAACTGACTTAAAATTTCACAGAGCAGCTGTAGTCTAAGCAGAATGTACGTTGCCGTGACCTGAGTTACCTGAGATTTGTGCTTTTAATGTTCTTCAACACCCCCTTAACAAGCTTGAAATTTCCCCTAAAATATGATCAAAAAAGTATTTATTCTAATATTAAAAAAATACTTCCTTCCTCACAATAATAGGAAATAAAACCAGTTTTTCAAATTAGGAGTTTCCTTTTTTGGAGTTTCCTTTTTTTACAATAAAATGCCAGCTATTTTGACAGAAACTAAATTTCGTTCTTCCTCCCTTTCAGTTGTTTCCATTTGATAGTGTTTCATCACAGGTTCAGTTATATTCACTTTCTGATCTGTCTGCCTAATAAAATCCAAATAAATATGCATAATGGGAAGAGGCTGCCCCACTGAATTCACTGAAATTTTTGCCTTTTAATTCAGCTAGGCCAGAATTTCATTCTCTGGGGATTTTTTATACTGTTGTGATCCATTCTTTTCTAGGACTCCAAATCATGTACTCCCTAATAGGATTTTTATCAAAATCAATTGGTTATGGCTACATTTCACATATGTTATAAAATAATAAATTAGTTATTTTGGTATTCCTGTACTATATTACACCATCATAAATTTAGTATCTGCTGTGTTAAAGGCCTGACAGAAAAACACTTTTATAAATGCTGAGGTTTTATCCTTTATAAGTGTATCATTTCTTTCTCTTTTGAAAATTTAATAAATTTGGTATAACTTATTATTTTACAAATTTTTAGTGCCAATGATTTAACTGCTTGTTACCAAGGAAGTAAGCAAGTTCCAAAAGATGTGTTTTGTGCTGATAATCATGTAAACAATAATGTAATAAGAAAAAAATCATAGTGGGAATAAACTGATAGGCTCATTTTAAGGTGATGTTCTGCTGCATTTCCTTAGCTGAAGATTTAAGTTTTTCTCTGTTCCTATATACTAAGGTTATCCCAAGCTAAAGCAAAAGTTACCTGTTTCTTACAAAGACACCCCCCAAAAAACCAAACCAAACCAAAAAAACCCCAAACACCAACAACTTTTCCCAGAGCTGTACATTTTCTGGGCAACATCAAGTCCTTCATCCAGGTTAAATGTGAACTGCTGTCCACCTCAGGCCAATATAATTTAGGGAAGAAATTCCATGTTTGGGTGGGAAAGAGGGAAATAATTTTGTGTCCACTTATTTATTCATCAATCGATGGCAGCCCTTTGAAGTGCTCAGTGCATTGGAACACAAATGTGAGTCATAGGCTGGTGTGTAAGAAGGCATATGGCATGTGAAATGGACAAACTTATGTTATATACATACAGTTCATTAATTATTTCTGTGGTTAATCACATTACATGATTCATTGTAATGAATAATTGTTCTTGTATACACCTCTTTTCCTTTTGCATTAGGTACTAGCACATCCATGCATCTAGTCTAAACGTGCCTAATCTTTGCCCAATTTTATACAGCAACAAGTAAGAGAAAGGCTTGCCAGACTGGAATGCCACACCCCCTGCCAAACACAAGCAGAAGATGCATAGCAAACAATATTCAGTATTTGGGAAAAAAACCACAACAAACAAAACCTGTTGATAATCTGATGTCAGAAGGGCTAGAATTAGGAACTTCAGGCCATGAAGAGGCTAGGATTTTTCATTTCTCATAAAGTGAGACTTCTGGCTCTGTAATACTTTCACCAGTATGAAACAGACATTATTTTCCATTTACCTGTGCCAAAGAAAAATTTATATTCGTGTTTTCATTCCATATAATTATGAGTATAGGATGTTAAAAGAGAGGTATTTTATGTTCATCAAATAAATAAGGCTCAAAAATCCCTAAAGTTTAATTTAAATTTTCATTTTTTTTCATCCATAATAGTGAATTTTAAAAGTCCTTTAGCAATTGTAGAAAAAGATGCTTAGTAAACTTACAATAGGCATTAACCATGCAGCAGAAATTTAAATCTCACCAAACTTCATATTTCAGTGCCAAAATATCTATATTTATAAATGCATAGGAAATCACAAAACTATTCCTTTTCCACTACTATGAAGAGTAAGGTGTAAATAGGAATTTTTTCCTTGTTTTTAAAGCCATTTTTTTCAAAAGAAAAAGCAGCATATTCACTAAATAAAAAATGTTTTATCTGTAACTTCGAAGTTTCTGGCTTCTTAGTAAAAAGAGTCCTGTGTTTTACTGAAAGATTTTTCACTTCAGTCTTGTCCCATCAGATATTCTAGACCTGTAGGAATAGCTTGTTGGAACTTGTTACTAAAAATTTGGCTGATTAAGGAAAGGATAGGCAGACATATCTAAGTCGAAAGTAAAAGAAAAGGCATAGTACTGAAAACCTTCTGTTAATGTTCTTGTTCCTTTGACTGGAAAGACCTGTCTATATTTTTCCATTGCTTTTGTTAACAGAGATTAAAAACTTAATGATGTAATTATTTCAAGTGGGAGGATTGACCAAATGGTAATCTGATATAAAATTGTTACTTTCAAATTTGCTCAGTGAAACTGAAATTGGGCCGTTACTGGCTGTCAGTCATTGCCACATGTTGGTCATTAGAGGTAAGATGCAGTGAGTCTGGTGATCCCTGACCTACCCCTCATTCCACAACACAGAAACCATTGTCATAATTCTGTAGCTCTGAGAAGAGGCGAGTGTATGGAGACATTATGAGAAATCACTAAGGGACACAGTAGACATGCCTTTTGCTTATCTACAGAGGCTTTGAGGTTTTCACAAGGGATTTCATGTGGCATCATACAAAACCCCACACTGTGCTGAACATAGGTCCATCAGAAACTGAGACCTTGTCTGAATGTCACTGTCACATGTTCTTTGCTTTGTGATTATGGAACAGAAGGAATAATTCCTTACATTCCCCATACCATCAATACAATAAAATACCAGACTCAGTCCTCAGTACCACTGCTGGCACTGACGTAAGTTACCGCTTCTCTTGGAGCCGTCTGTGCAGAGAAGCCAAGGGTAGAATAGGCTGTGGGAAACTGGATTGCCTTGCTTTATTACTGCTTGAAGTTATTCTCTGGGGACAAACAGAAACATTTTAGAAATGTTCATTGCAGAGCAGGTATTTTGCTTGCTCTAAGTTGAACTGCAAAAAGGAGAAAACTCTGAGTTGGGACAAAATAAGCAAAATATTTTTGAAAAACTCTAGTGTTTTATGTTCACCTTGTTTGCAATAATGAGATTTTAAATGCAGGAGAGGAAGCTTGTAACAAACAGTGCCTTTCTGAACTAACGCAAGAGTGATTACACAATTTTTACTGCAATTCCTGTAAGTATAACTTTTGACTGTACTTGTGTAAGAAGAGGGGGCTCTTTAAAACTCGAGTGTGGCTGCTTAGTCAGGCTAGCTCCCCTCCCACC